GTCCGGCTCCGGAGCAATGGCAGAAAAAGAACACGGTGCTGCTAACTGCAATGGGGTGGGATGCAGAGGGCACTAGAGGAGAGGGGCTGTTTGCCATGACCCCAAATCACCGTCTGTAAAGGGGTCCACCAGACACACACAGCGCAGATATTTGCTGAGTGATGGGGGGAGTCACTGGAGAAGGAATGATGGTAACAAAAATTCCCTAGCCCTTAACAGAGGACAGCAGCTGCCCCATAGACTATCAGGGTTGGAAGGGACCTCAAGAGGTCATCTAGTCCAACCCCCTGCTCAAAGATGGAGAAACTGAGGCACAGAGAAAGGAGAGAATCACCCACAGATCAGCATAGGGCATGGGATAGAACTCAGGTCTCCTATATTCCAGTCTAGGTAATTAGCCCCTAGCCCCCAGTAAGGTGAACAAAGTTAGTACTGCTGATACTCCCTTGGGGTCATGCAGTCAGCGCTCTGACGCTCAGCAGGCCAGGTGAGGCCATGGAGGGGAGCCCTCCAGAGCACTTGGGGCAGAGAAGCCGTCCCCTCAAGGAGGCGCTCAGGCCAGTGGAAAGAAGGAGCGTCACACCCCCAGATCAGCGCTACAGCACGTTACACTCATAGAATCAGAAAATATCAGGGTTGGAAGAGACCTCAGGAGGTCGTCTAGTCCAACCCCCTACTCAAAGCAGGACCAATTCCCAACTAAATCATCCCAGCCAGGGCTTTGTCAAGCCGGGCCTTAAAAACCTCTAAGGATGGAGATTCCACCCCCTCCCTAGGGAACCCATTCCAGTGCTTCACCACCCTCCTAGTGAAATAGTGGCTCCTAATATCCAACCTAGACCTCCCCCACTGCAACTTGAGACCATTGCTCCTTGTTCTGTCATCTGCCACCACTGAGAACAGCCGAGCTCCATCCTCTTTGGAACCCCCCTTCAGGTAGTTGAAAGCAGCTATCAAATTGCCCCTCACTCTTCTCTTCTGCAGACTAAACAAGCCCAGTTCCCTCAGCCTCTCCTCGTAAGTCATGTTCCCCGGCCCCCTAATCATTTTAGTTGCCCTCCGCTGGACTCTCTCCAATTTATCCACTTCCCTTCTGTAGTTCCTCATATAAATACAGGAAGATGCCTGGGGCAGGGCTAGGACTCAACGTTAGCTCTGCTGAGTCCCAACCCCTAGCCTTTACCACAAAGCCCTCTGTCATCCTCACACCCCGTAACAGCAGCGTCTCTTTGTTCCCCTGCAGCCACAATGGAGACGTTCAGCTCCAGGAACCTGGCCCTGCAGGCTGAGAAGAAGATCCTGAGCCACATGGCCAGCAAGTCGGTGGCAAACGTATTCCTGGACGACACCAGCAGCGAGATCCTGGATGAGCTGTACCGGGTCTCCAAGCTGCACTCCCAGAACCGGTCCGAGGCCCAGAAGGTCATCAAGAACCTCATCAAGGTGGCCGTCAAGATCAGCGTGCTGTACCGCAACAACCGCTTCAGCACCGGCGAGCTGGGCTTGGCGGAGGAGTTCAAACGCAAGCTGCACCAGGGCGCCATGACGGCCGTCAGCTTCTACGAGGTGGAGTTCACCTTCGAGTCGGGCATGCTGACCCAGCTGCTGCAGGACTGCCGGGATTTGCTGCTGCAGCTGGTGGAGAAGCACCTGACGGCCAAGTCCCACGGCCGCATCCGCCACGTCTTCGACCACTTCGCCAACGGCGACCTCCTCAGCCAGCTCTACAGCCCCGGGGAGCCCTACCGGCCCCACCTGCAGAAGATCTGCCAGGGCTTGAACAAGCTGATAGAGGAGGGGAAGCTGTGAGCGGGGTGGGAAGGGGCCTTGCCTTTCTCCTCCTTCTCAGCCAGCAAAGGATTATGGGAGTTGGGGGCCTGGAAGCACCTTACTCCCTTAAGCACCTATGGAAATCCTAGGCGAGGAGCAAGGACCTTCAGGTTTATAGGGGATGGAGAACTGGAGGATCCAACAGGACAATCAAGACTCAGGTGTGTCCTGGTTGCACTCAGGCCCATCCGTGGTCTCCGCATCTGCCCCAGTCCTCTCCACACCCTCATGGATTGGTCCCCCGCCCCCAACTCTTTCTCCCCATCAGTGACTCTTGCAGAATGGTTATTTTTGTACACACTCATCTTGTCATTGTTACTAACACGTTAAGGGGGAGAAGCTGCACCCGCCTCGCCGCGTCGCGCGGGGGATCTGCTGCAGGGGGGGCACCCGGGCCTGCCTGGGCAGTTACCCCTTGATGGTTCAGTTTGTGAGGCCAGCGGAGGTGGGGCTGGGTTCAGCTCCGATGAAGGCAATAGATCAAGACCCCCCCAAACACTCCCCATTGCGGGGTTGCCCGTGGCCAAAGGGATCAGACAAGGCTCCACCGAGCCAGCAAAACAGAGGGGGGTGGCAGATTCTGAGCTTATACATCAATTGCACATAAACGCAACGCCCAGGGGAAGGGACCAGCCACCGGCGTAAACCCCTGTCCTTGCCACATGGTTCCCCAGCGGTCAGGTCTAGTCCCCAGGGCTGCACTCGGTGGAGCTCTGTCCCGGCATCATACTCAGGTTTGGGAGCTTAGCTTCAGCCACGCAGAGTTTAGGACTTTCCCTCCCCGAGCCCAGCCGCTGACGCTGCCAAAGACACGGGTGAGGCCATGAGCAGGGTGAGAAGGGGGTCAGAAACTCCGTCAAAGGTCCCGCAGGCAAATGGTAGGGTCCCTCCCATGCCTTTCCTAGCCACTCTGCCCTCCTGCCCCAGCCCCTCATCCCCGCCAGCGCCGTGATCCCTTGGCTCACAGTTTATGGCCAATGCCATGGCAGCCTACGGTAGGCTGGAAGGTCGGTGGGTTTCCCATGGCCTGTCGGAGGGAGGCGGGTGGCTCATGACTCCAGGAGGCCCCTTAGCAGCTGGGCTCCTTCCACTGAGGCCCGCGCGAACCCAGGGGCTGCAGAGGTCAAGCAAAGATACCAGCAGCTTCCTCGGAGCGGGCGCGTTGGGAACAGACCAGCAGACAAGGCTACCTTGGCTGGCACGGGCATAGTTAAAGGGTGGGCATGCAGCCCTCAGAGCCACCCTCCCCTGCCCGGTTTGCTACCACGCTGGATGCTGCCAGCTGACCGAGAACGTGGCTGGACGGTGCACATCCCAGGCCTGCGAAGTCAAACAGCGCCTGGCCTAGGAAGGGGGAGGCAGGGGAGACCAGAGCCAGAGCTCCCTGGGAAAACAGCCCCTCGCCAAGGGGGGCATGAGGCCGCCTTCCCGCTCTGATAGCCTGGCCTGATCTCCACACATCCCAGGGTCCCGTCCCCCCCTCCCCCCCCCGCCCCTCTCCAGCACTCAGCTGCTAGCCTGGCACTAACCCAGCATATGACTTTGTCTCCCCCTCGTGGTTGGGTTAAGAGGCTGATTGGTGCCCTGGTGGCATCAATTAATGGAGGATGGGGGGGAAGCAAATGCCCCCCCTTCCCCAAAGTTTTTGCATTTGCTTAAAGTTCCACAAGCTTTCTGGCCCCCGGAAATTAAAGCACTCCCAACCCTCCCTACAGGAACCCCTGGCTGTCAGTTTTAATTTGGCTGGTGCATTTGCAGATGGAGGGGTCACAGGTTCGATTCGCCCGAGCTGGGGAAACTGCTGGCTTCTCCACATTCCAGGAGCTGCCTTCTACGGAAGATAATAGACCCCAAAAGTAAAACCTTCCCTGCCCATGAGCATCTGTGCTGGTCCCGCTACAGCCTGACAGGTGGGAATTAATCAGAGGAAGAATGTAATTAGGCTTAGGTACTGCCCCAACCTGGTCAGCATTTGGAAGAGCTCCTCCCAGGTGCTCCAGCAGCTTGCACTAGTGGGTCAGTAGGGGGCGCTCTTCCAGCCACATCAGCCCTGATCCCAGGGCTCGGTGAGGAGCTGCTACACCTGCCGGTTTTCTCAAGGCAGCTCCTTGCAGCCATTAAAGAGCCTATGGCCCCAAAAGCCTCATGATTAAAAGCCGTTACTGTGCAGCGGGCTGCGTGAAATGGTGACGGGTCTCAGCCAGGTTTGCAGCACCCAGGTCTCCATGGCACAAAAGGGGGGGGGGCTCTTCAGAGCAGGGCTGTTTGCCCAGGCACCCAAGGGATGCGGAGATCTCCAGCCCCAGCACCGAACCGGCACTCCCCCTAGGCAGGGAGGAAGCAGACGGAGGAGCCTGCGGTTGCCCTGTCGCAGGCGGGGATGCAACGTCACAGGTTAGCGATAGCCGGGTGCACTGGGCAGAGGCCAGGGACAGAGAGCACCTCTGCTGGCAACAATGCCCGCGGGACTCGGACAGTTCCAAGGGAGAGGCGGACTGCAGGCAAGGCCAGCCGGGGGTATCGCGGGCAGCTCACTACAGCGATGGCGAACGGCACCACAATGGGACATGCTGGCACAGCGGGCAGCCGCCACAGGGACAGGCCCAGAGCTGCTGAGGATTCAGCCAGGGGGAGGCGCTGGTCCTGCTTTCCCCTCCCTGCAAGCCTGATTGATCAATCTCCCCTTCTCACTGCATCAGCAGGCCCCTGGCACACTCCACCCCTCACCAGCTCTGCCCCCCCCCACTGCACCCCAGCCCCCACTATCCCAGCCTTGAGCCCTGCTCAGACTCTGCCGCTGCTCCTCAACCCCAACGCACAGCCCACCTCCCACCCCCGCTAGTATCCCAGCCCTGGGCCCCCCCAGACAGTTCTGCCACTGCCCCCACCCTGGGCTACACGGCTTTCCCTCTAACACAGGTGGCATGTGGGCCTTACTCACTGCAATCCAGAGCCTAAGACAAATGACATATCAGCCAATACCGGCCACATGCTGCAAGGGAGGGCAAAACGTCCAGCGACTTCTACGGGAGCAGGATCTGACCCATTTTTGGAGCCCCTCCCCGCTGACTGCCACTGCTGTACAAAAGCCGACCCAAACCTGCTTTGTGCCTCACCAGGGAAATAAAGGGGAGGAACAGACATGAATCACCACGGAGACGTGTTGCGTGTTTTGTTCAAAGAGCAATCAGGATGGAACAGTTTTATTTGCAAGTCCCTTTGCCGCTGGCCGGGCGGCCGATCTCACTCTTGTGCCTGAGAAATACCTGGCAGAGTTATTAAAAGAGGATCTGGGTCTCTCAGCGGCGAGGCAGCTTTAAAGAGGAACCCAAGGGCGGGTTTTATTTTTAACTCCGTTTCCCTCTCCAGAGCTGGGCCGTGATGGACAGCAAAGGGTTCCAAATCAGTACGGCTGAATGAAACAGATGAGTGGGGAAATCAGGGCCCGGCTTACCTGCCCCATTCAGAGTCTGGGGCTTCTGGCTCGGCTCAAGCAGCTAACGCCTTCCAAGGAGGGGCTGTTCTGGGAGTTCCTCCATTCACCCCTGGCCCACAAACACCGCTTACAAGCCACTAGCTATCATCTGTCCCCCGTTCCGCCCCCTCCCCGGCCTGAAACATCAGCTTGGGAGCTGAGAGTCAAGCTGGGTGTTTTCCCTCTCACACCTCACGCCCAGTAACCAAGAGACAAATTAACAGGCGATCATCAGCGCTAGTATCACAGGGGCTCCAGACAGCCCCAGTGGGGCCAGACAGGCAGAAAGGATTGGTCAGCTCTTGGATTAATGGCACACAAGGAGGGGCAGACCCTGGCTCCTCCCCCAGAACCAAGCTAAGAGTAATCCTAAGCAGTGAGAGGTCATTGAGTAGCTCTGACAGACTCAGGGGACAGATCCACGGGGAGCGGGGGTGGGAGGGGTTGTGCCCATCGCTTTCAGGGGAAGGAAGCCAAGCAGCGTATGGAATTTGCCCCCTCAGCCCCCATGCCAGGCCCCACTCCAGAGGTCAATGGAAAGACTCGGGTGGATTTCAACTCAGGCCCAAGGGGCTGGGTTTCAGCACAGCGGATGCTGAGCCCTTCCCGTGTGGGAGCTGGGCCCCGAGAGCCCGACCCCACATGGGCTCGCTGGCAGTGGGAGCTGCAGGCAACGATGACTCTTGCCTGCCAGGCGTCCTATGGGATCAGCTGCCGAGGGTCCTGACACCCCCCAGGACGTCAGGCTCGTGAAGGCGCCTGTTTCATTTAGAAACACATCAAGGTCCCACAACAGGAAGAGCAGGGGGGCTGCGGGTCGGGATTGAGGGGCATCAGTAGATGATTGGGGGGGCCGGGCGGAGGACCTGATCCCAAGGCCTTTCCCTAAAGTCTCAGCAGGGGAGCCAAGGAGACCCAAGGGGGTTGCAGGCAACGGGGCTGTCTCCGAACACGGCGACCTGACGGGATGGGACAGGAAGAGGCGGGTGCTCTGGGACGGGGAGCTCAGAGCCCGGCTGTGGGAAAGGCCAGCGAAGAGCAGAGCAGCGCAGAAAACGCTGGGCATTAGAGCGTGTCGCTGAGACTCCCCCGCCCCAAGGGGGCGCTCTACCAGTCACCCCCATAACACGTCTCTGTGCACGCCCCCCCCAGCCGCAGAACGTCCCCCATACACTGCTCCCTCTGCAGCCAGCCCATCCCTCCGCAGATCGGTGCGAAGGCAGGGGCAGCCGGAGGACTCACGCAGGCTCCTGCCAGGATCAGGGCCTCAGCACCGTCCGGGTCCCCCTGGCAGGGCCATCACAAACCCTGCGCTGCCCTCCCCACCCCCCCGTGGCTGGACGCGCCGGCTAGGAGGGGAGAGGCGAGTCCATGGGGAAAAGAAGGCTCCGCCCATCAGAGCTTGAAGATCTCGTCCTCCTGGTCCCGCAGCGTGGCGGCCCGGGTGGTTTTGGTGAGCGGCACGGGGCCCAGCAGGGCGCGCTGCTGAGCGTGAGGCGAGGGCTCGTTCTGATAGGAGACGGTCCTGCTGGCTCCTAGCTCGGCCCTGGCGATTCTGCGGGGAGACAGGAGGGGGTTAGATCTCGGACAGGGAGTGGTCATCGCAGACGCGCCCTGCTCAGGGATCCCCCCAGCCATGCTCTGCTCGGGGGTGGCTGAACTGGCACAGCGCCCTCTGCTGGGGCTGGGAAGGATCCAGGGAAGAGCCCCCTTTAGACACATGGGGCCAGGGCGGGTAGGGGGGTCCCAGAGGTGACAGTACAGATGGGGAGGGCGCAGGGAGGCCTGTATAATCCCTGTGGGAATCTTTGTTCAAAGCAACAAAGTAACCTAGGGCTGGAGGGAATCAGCAGAGCTGGGGGGAGGATGCCATGGGCTGGGACTGTGGGCTGAGATTGAGGGGCACTGGCACAGCTGAGGTTGGGGGATGAACCCAGGGTTGGGGTAGGAGGGGGCTGCGGGTCAGGATTATGGGGCACTGCCCAAGCTGGGGTCCCGGGGCCCAGAGTTGGGGTAGGAGGGGGCTGCGGGTCAGGATTGAGGGGCACTAGCCAAGATGGGGGGCAGAGACCCAGAGTTGGGGTAGGAGGGGGCTGCGGGTCAGGATTATGGGGAACTGCCCAAGCTGAGGTCCCGGGGCCCAGAGTTGGGGTAGGAGGGGGCTGCGGATCAGAATTGAGGGGCACTAGCCAAGCTGGGGGGCAGGGCTGGGACAGGAACCGCAGAGATCTTCAACACAGGCAACAGCGCCCTCTAGTGGCCTCAGAGACTAGTCAATGGCAAGCAGTGGCCTGGTCCTTAGCCCAGCCAGCTCCCCGAAGGCAGTCCTCAGAGGCCCAGCTGCGTCAGACTCCCAGGCCAGGAGAAGGGCATTCCCTGTACAGCAGCCGGCTGGGGGTAGACAGTGGCCGCGGGCTCCTCTGGCTGCGCCCTGAGCTAACGCGCTGGCTGTTTAACCCCCCCTGCAGCACGGCACAGAAGGGAGGAAAGTAACTGATCCCCATTTCCAGCAGCACAGGGAGCTCTGCCCCGCGAGCCACAGGGAGGCAGGTGCTGACAGCCTGGATCGGACCCAGGCCCCGTCCAACCCAGCATCTCCCCCTCCCCCAGCAGCGACCAACCGCCATTTCCCTGGAGGAACCCAGGAAACACCCCAGGACCCCTCATTAATTCCTTCCCGCCCCGCAGCGAGCGGCACGCGCCCGGCAGGACACCATTTCCTGGCTCTAATCTCTTGCCTGCACAGCGCCGCTAGGAGATGAAGCAGGGGAAGGAGGGGCCCCGGGAGCAAACAGCATCAAAGCAAACGTGTCGGTGTGAGTCCACGTTGCCGCGTGCAGCTGTTCATTGCCTTCAGAGGCTGTTCATT